TACACATTTTAGTCAGTATATAAGCAATAGAAATATTAATCAATACAAAAAAATAAATTAAAAAATAAATTAAAAATAAATTAATGCAGTGTCATTGGTTAAAAAACAGCTCAATCAGCAACATCAAACTATCAACCAGCTCCACAATCAAGTGATATGGGGCGATAACCTCATAAAACATCGTAGATTTCAATGTTACAGATAATAGGATAAAACATACAAGTTTCCCACTGAGATGACCTTCAGAAGCTGAGAACATTGAGATATACATGTACTCTCTACATACAAGTAATTAAAAGCACACAGAGAAATGACTTGTCAGATGGGGTTCAAATTGAGGGTATTACTCACCTCTTGAATTGATGTAACAAGTTTTGAAGTCACTCCTACAGTGTAAATGCCACCAAGAGCATCCTCATGGATTTTGATATGTGATTTTTTATGCTGAAAAAAGCAATGTGACAAATTACTAATTACTAACCCAAAATCAGGAATAGTGGAATGCATGCACAATTATCTGGCTGTAGATATCAAGAAGCCTATTCGTATAACATGGCATCAACTGTTGATAGTGTTAATATACATTTTCCACATATGGTATAACCAGGTAATACAGTCAAACAAAAATGCTATAAAATCTATGATATTACCATCACACCTACTGGTGCTCACAGGTCTACATAGATACGGTAAAATGATTAATTTTCACTGGGTTTAAATTTTGCTGATTTACCACTTCAGGCATATTCAGTGGGTATTAAATTCACGGTTTTATCATTTAGATAATGTGTTCTATGTTAAATTTTACATATTCACTGGGTTTTAATTTAGCTCATTTTCCAATCAGCGATAAGCAAAATTTACCATTTATGCTGATTTACCATTTCAGGCATATTCAGTAGGTTTTTAATTCACGGTTTTATCATTTAGATAACATGTTCTATGCTAAATTTTACATATTCACTAGGTTTTTAATTTAGCGCATTTTCCAGTCAGCAATAAGCAAAATTAAAACCCAGTGAATAATTAACCCTTTTACACTATCTCTATATTTTGTAAACACTAATGCATTAATACTACCCCTCCATATACAAAGAAGCTGCAAGTCTTACCCGCACATCTGGATCCCTTTGAGCATCTAATAGGTCTATTATTTCTTCATTGTACAGCTGTAAAACATATACCATGATATAAATCAATGTTACATCTACAATGTAACCTGATACATTGTGAACAAACCAGTCAGGATAATAACATACACTGACACTGCATTTAGCGCAGTAAAATAACTCCCTA